GAACATAGAACATAGAACATAAATCTTCTCTATCTGCACATAAACCCAAAACTCCCCATGAGTTCTGGCAAAAACAGAGTATTTCAAGTAGAAGGCTTTTGTGGTTTACTCTTTTGCTTGTCATTTCGTCTTGCTTGAATTTAATGAGCTGCGGCAATCGCTCGACTATTGCAAACGTCCTTTTTGCCTTAAAGAAAAAAACGTACTTCTGGCACAAGGCTAGTCAGCTAGTCAAACCGAACAATGGTGCGCATTTAGCTAGAGTCGCTTTGAAAGGCCAAAACTAAAATTGAAATTTTTCAATATCGCAAAGGAAAAAAAACTTTTTTAGTGAAAAATTCCAAGCACATAGCCTGAATGCAAAGAGCGAGATTGTTAGAGAGAGAGAAGAGAAAGAGTAGAGTGAGAGAGAGCGAAAAAGTGAAGCATGCTCATTAGGCAGCCATTGTGTGAAAAGCTCAAAGGATGCAAGATGCTATGAATGGGATTGAGTGATGCGAGTCGCTGCTGGCAAAGGGCGCATCGAGCTGTAAATCAAATCGGCGTGTCAACGGCAAAACTAATTTATGTATTTACGAGTGTGCTGGCTGATTATTCATACGCACTGTGTGCCGATTGCAACGTTCGGCTGCATCAAAGCCCAGCTTCTTGTTGACTTTCATTAGCTCCAATTATGCAGAAGTCCTCAAATGTCCGGCGCATGGCTCAGGCGACAAATCAAATGCAGTTGCTGTGGCAATGGCTGTGGCAATGACAGTGCCAGTGCCTGCAATAGCTGCTGCAGCAATTGTTGCCACACGCAAACTTTTCAAATCGTTGCCTCGACTATATAACTGCCAGCTACTCAACCGTTCGGCCTTGCCCACCCAGCCGCCCAGTTTGGAGACCAGCCTTATGTCATGTGATGCCCAGTCGATGTCGTTGCTGCCGCCTGTGTTTGGTTTACGTGCTTAAATTGGCAATTAGCAGATTAATTGTCACTGGCAATATATGCGTCAATATATATTGCACAACCCATGCCGCACAGTGGGACAACTGTGAAAGCACACAATGATACTAGAAATGGTAAATGAATTTATATCCGATACGATTGATAACTGGCCTATCAAATATAATTTCATTGTGTGTGTCCATTTGTGTATATTACATGATTATCAATCGATCCATATGTATATTATGCAATTTTAACTAGATACTTGAATTCATATTACATAATTGATACCTAGAAAAGTAAAAGGTCTCTAGAAATCAATTATCTGATGCCCACTGATATCAAATTTGATATAACTTAAGATTATCATATTCTTATACTTTAAACCATATAATACTCGACTAGCAAATTGAAAAAGTGGAACGAATATACCAATTCTCACACCACTAAATAATATCCCTGAAATATGAAATGTGCTTATATAATAACGTAAAATCAACCAAAAATTTGAAATCGATATTAGTGAGGAAGAGTACAATGGATATTGCTTACTTTTTGCGAATTTAGTCCAATAGTTTTTCTTCATCGATGGTTTGCAAAAAAAATTAAATAAAATAATTTTTCTATTCATTTATTGATGAACACAAACTCCGTTTCATAGGTAAATAAATAATAATGTATATAAGAAAATTAATTTTAAGTATAAATAATTATTTTTATGATCTATTACTCAAGTATTCCCACAACTAAATAGATCTCCACTCTCACACCCACTGTGCAGCAGCTGCATAAGTGTATTCTAGCCAACATGCTCGCTATGTCCGTCTGTCTGTCTGTCCTGTCTATTGCAGCAGTTTGTCAGTCTGTTGCTCTGTCAGACGCTTTGTACACGTAGTTTGCTTTACGGCCCCGTTGTTTACATAATTGTTGTACTGCTGCCGCTGCTGCTGTTGCTGTTGCTGTTTGATTTCACTAACGAGCATTAGCATAAATTGCACTGACCGATGGTCGGAGGTCGCTCTATGGCTCTGGCACGGGCTTTGGCTTTGGTTTAGGGCTCTCGGTCAGGGCTTTGGATCTGGGATACTATTGCCATCTTATTCACTTTGACCGCTGTGCTGTGCATCATTTGACATCAGCCGCGTGCCCGTTTGCTGAACAATGTCAAAATTGTGCGTTATTTCTGTGCAAATTGTGCAGTCAATCAGTTGTAAATTTTTAATGAGTTTTCATTTATATTAACTGACATCGACTGGCATCGGCTGGCGCTGCCACTGCAGCGCTTGGGGCCATTTTGGTTTTTGGGGCCTGCGGTTGCGTCCAACGGGCTAAGTAATTTGTCACGCTAATTGCTTACGGCCTGCAGGCACTGGGGAACGTGGGCGCATCCATTTCATATGCATTACATTGCAAATATTACGTCTACGCACTGTGGGCGGGCATTTATCGTCGCCTGTGCCCCGCCCCTCCATCTCAGCTATAACATATCCCCTATAATACAACTTTAGCTCTCTTTCTTGCACTCGTGCACCCTGGCTGCGCCCCAGCCCTGAGTTCGCTTTCCGTTTCAACAACAGCCGCAATAATTTCCCACAAAATATTTCCTCAACATATCGACGCTGACGTTGACAACGATAATGTTTTTTTGTTTTTTCTTTAGATACTCTCTTTTTCTTAGAGTGTGTACAAGATGTGCTACAAATGGATGCTAGTCAGTTAGACTCTCGATTTGATATGGGCTTGGTTAGGTTTTTCTGAAAGGCTTAACTTGCTTTGCTTTCTTTAATTCCATTAAAAACCGGACATCCGTAAGAGCTATGGAGCAGAATTTCTGTATGTCAGCTTACGAAAGATATGTGTATATCAATCATATTATTCTTTATTGATTACTTCTTATAGTATCAATCGGATATACGAGCGGGACTGATATAATCTGTTTCCATTGTAATCAAACTTAATGGAACCTTAATCATCAAACGTTTTACTCTGAAAATTATCACAGCTTCAGCATTGCTACTGATATAAAAATTTAGTGGATCATATTTCGACATATAGGTTTTACAACTAGGTTGACAATTAGATAAATCAGACCTTGTCAAGTCTTAGAGTATTATTTTCACATACTTAAGCTTCATATAGATGAGGTATGGGTATATATATTAGAATTTATTTGATCATATAGAACACCTTAATCTGATAAATCAGAATATTGAATCTTTTTAAAGTTTTAGATTACGTTCACTCCATCTCAGCTGTAGTTATATTATGTTCTAACTCATATTGATCTTGCAGACAATCCGATGTCACATCATATCTGATAATACAGAGTATTCAGTCTACGTCAAGTCCTAGAGTATTATTTTCACATGTTTGTTTAGGTTTTTGATAGTCTTATAGCTGCTGCTGCTGCTGCTGTTGTTGTTACTCTGTGTACTGCATCTTCTTCTGCTTCTGCCTCTTCTTCTTCTTCATCTGCTGTTGTCTTGGTAGCAGCAGTTGCTCGTCCATTTCACTTGACTTCACTGCCACGTTTGCGTCGTCAGTTGGGCTGACGTCGACGTCGACGTCGACATCGCCATCAGCGTCTACATTGACGTCGAGTTCTTGTTGCAGTGGAACTTATCATTTTATAAGCATTTGTTGTTGTTTGTCTGTTTTTTTAGTGTGCTGCAGCAGCAGCAGCTGTAGAAAAACAAAATATTTTGTTGCAACTTGCTTAGCCTCCTCGCTCTGCGCTCCGCGCTCCCCCCTCCCTCTGCCAGCACCCACTCGCCCGCATTGCTTGCCTTCTGTGGCCCCGGGCTACGGTCTGTGTGCATTTTATGTGACAGATACTTTAAAATGTGGCAAAGTGGTTCTTGGCAAGGCGTGCCAGCTCTTAGCTCCTCAAGTGTGTGTGTGTGTGTGTGTGCGGGGCACACATCATGCACTGTTCTAGCTTAGTGTATGGCTGGGCCATTTGAAATGAAATTAATGTAAAATTATGTGCCACGTAAACTAATTTTTATGCGACGCCAAACGGCTCGTCCCACGGCCGCTACCCCAGCATCTGCGTCTACAATTTACGAGCCCTCGCACATTTCGGCCGCAATCCTTTCAAAGCATTCGCAAGAGCGTTTTATTGCGCGGCTGCTGCCACTTAGAAACTAAAAAAAAAAAAAATGGTTTAAAGGAAAAATCAAAACAAGTTGGTACTAAGAATAGTAGACGTGGAGATACCCTGTGAAAAATTAGAGTGTGTGTTTCAATGAAAGAGATAGAGACAGAGAGAGAGAGAGGGAGAGGGAGCGAGATGAGATGAATCCAAATGTGAATTTATTAGTTTCTTTGAATTTAAGAGAGAAAAGAAGAGGGAGAGAGAGAGACAGAAATAGAGAGATATGCATTACTTAGCTCTTATTTATAGACTGAAAGAAAGTATCTCATTAGCTATAGGAGTATAGCGCGTAATCATATTCTACATGATATATGTGTACTTAATAGTTCAATGAATCTTTTCAAAGCAAAACATAGCCAATACACCCCATTCGAAGCCATTCAGTGCAGAGCATTCACAAAAAATGAAAAGAGTAGCCACGACGAGCATTAAAATGTTGCCAGGGCCTGGACCAGGCGCTGTTGTTGTTCAAGTTGAAATTTATATTAGGCCAACAAAGTCGCCTGGACGAGGATGGGGATTGTGATGGGGATGGGGACAACGTGGCCGCTGGCGTTGGCGCCTGCTCTCAAGTGCTCATAAATTCACGAAAATTTCACAGCCGCCGGACCCAACAAAATATAAAAAAAAGAAAAAATTAAAAAAGAAGTGAACCCTTCAACAGCGCCCTGGTGGAGGGTCTAACCAGGGGGCAGCAGCTGCCGTCAGCTGTTGCAGGCCCAATTCCTGGCCCATACACACACACATACAACCATACCAACACTCGACTTTGGCCTGGCAAACATAAATTGTTAAAGAATTGCCACTTTACAGTCGTAAGGACCACATAAGCCGGACAAATAAAAACCTCGTTCACATTTTGGGTTTACTTTATTATTTTTTTTTCTTTTTTTTTTTTTTTTTTTTGGTTAGTGCAACCAGAATGGAGAGAACTTACCTTGGTTAGTCCGGCACTTGACTAGTACATTGCCTGATATCATCTTTAGTTGCGGCATAGCCAGACCAGACCAGGCCAGCCAGAACTTGACTTTTTAGAGCTGGCCCAAACAGTTGCTAAATCGTAAAAACCAAACCGGAAAAGGACGAACATAAAAACTGGGCCGCTTCGTTCTTAGTGTCGCTCGCAACCGGCTTGTAATAATGCCACAGGAATGTCAGCGCGTCAAGGATTCTCATATTAAGGACATTCAATTGACAGCGACTGCTGTTGACGACAATGGCATAGGCATAAATTACCACTTAATAAAATAGTTGAGTTGAAAAGCGAATGGTAAAATGGGTGGTGGGAGGTGGTGAGTGAGAAGCTGGAAAGCTGCGATACGGTTGTCTATCAAAATTTAATAGCAAGCATGACGAAAATCGCATGGATTGAAAGGAATGACTGACTCTATCGGGTTTTCATATTATTAAATTAAGTTTTCATAAGGGTTATACGTAAAAGCAGCAAACATAGCAGCAATAACAAGCGAAAAATAAACAATAGAAGAGATTTTCTTTTCTGAAATAGAGATCTGAGATATGGCAGAAAAATTATTTTATTTTGTTGAGTACTAAAACAAATAAGTGGAAAAGATAGGAAAAAGTTGTTTATATGTTTATAAATCATTTAATATATATAAGTCATGCAAATAAATTATTAAGTTATATATGAAACTAAATTTTCTGATGAATTGTAATAGCTTAAACGGTTTGATATATTTTCAAAGGACTTATATATATACATAAAACTTTAAACTAAAGTAGAATTACCAAAATCTTATTTAATAAATTTAAGCACATAAGTGAATCAGAATAGGCACTTGAAGAAAAGAGAAGAGGCCAATAGATGATAAATAATATAAGATTATATTAATTTATATAAATTTAAAAATTATAAATCATAATAAAACGATAATTTAAGTTAGGGCTGGCATTCTATATATGTATGTATTCTATATTCTATATATGTATATCATCTATATAGACAACTTAGACTCACAGCCTAAAGCACCTTTCAAATAAGTTCACGCATAACTACAAATACCTTCAGCGAGCATTTAAGGCACGTGAACAGGAGCCGCAGCTCTTTGTCATAAAAGCCGTAGGAGTAGCAGTAGATATTTCTTTGTTGGCAGCGACTTTTCCGTGTTTGTTGCCGCATGCATTGAAAGGCTGCAATTTTCGGGTATCTTGTTATGGACGAGCGGCCGACCGACACCGCAACTGACATGTGTGGACAGTGGGCTTCCATTATCTGGGCTACAGAGTCCTTGGGCGCTTTTTGCCCGGCTCTGGGCGAAGCTGGTGCTTGGGGTGCTTCGGGTGCATGTGAAGTGGCGTGATTTATAAGCGCTTTGCCGGCGATAATAAACACAGGACGAGTGCGAATGGACGACGAGCAGGGACGACGAGCAGCAGCAGCAGCAGCATGCCCACAGCTGGGGTACACAAACAAGAGGTGAAGTAATGTTGAGCAATGGCCATGGTGGTACCGGGCGTGGCAACACATGCAAAATAGTTTGGCATCAGCGCATATCCTTTTGCCTGGCCTGCCCACAGCCTTGCCTTGCTTTCAATTTTCTTTGTTCGCTTTGCGGTTGCATTGGCTTTGGGGCCAATTTTTTACTTGCGTCCGTTTGACAATAAAAATGGCAATAGACGAGGCCAGTCGACCGCACATCTTTTCAAGCTTCCAACACCTCGACCACCCATCGGCCTTCCTCTCCCTCTCTCTCTCTCTCTGTCCCGATAGCTGTGGCCTGGCCCATATCATTAATTTTGCACAAAAGGACATTTTGCCTTTTTGCCAAATGCAGGAATGAACCGATCAACGGAACGGCAACAGCAAATAAATAGGGCTCGCAATGACTTTGTTTCGGCAATGGCAGCTGCGCAGCTCTGCTGCGGTTGACTGAGGCTACGCCAGCAGCAGCAGCAGCGACATCAACTGCGATTGCATGTTTGTTGTGCTGCAGCTTCCTTGGCATCAGCTTTGGACCGAGCCACGTACCGGTCCGTCTGTCTGCCTGTCCCAGTCTCTGTCTCTGTCTCTGTCCCTGTCTTTGGCCTGCCCAATACGTTCGACATTTTGTCGGTCACACGCTGCGTTGAGTTTTGCCAAATTGAAATTGTTTTCCCAAACAACAGCGGGGCGTATACGTAATATGAGATTGTCTTTGCATTTGCCAAGAAAAATAAAATAAAGGAAATGGTTGAGTGTGTGTAGATTTGTCTTTGTATAAATGGATGACACAATCACGTGCTCTGAATTCAAGCATATAATATGCTATATAGGGAAAACCAAGTGTACACCAGACTCTATGAAAATCTCCCTTCAATCTCTCTCGATATAGTAGACATATGTGAATGACAAATAATATACACAAATATTGGATATCTAAATGAAATAATAATCTATACATATTCATAAAAATGGACTCTACGCCGCGTGGTCCTTCCAAGCCAGAGTCAGCTTCGGCGACCACTGATGGCATTGAGGAGGGCAACATGGAAGATACATATTCAACGGAAACGGAACAGCCCGTGCCACTGCCATCGTTTCGTACTCCCCGCTCGATGTTCTACGGCTGCTGCATTGCCAAGGAGTGTAAGCGCTAATAGATTCAGTTAATATCTCAGTCGTGCTACACTTATTTGGCCATTGTAGATTTCATGGAGTACGTGAATCTGGTGGACAGTCTGCATATTACGCCGCGCCTGATGATACAGCGGAAACCGTTTCGCAAGAATAACACATACGGCCTGACGCTAACAATTCGCAACTCTGCACTGGTATGTATATAGCAATAACTTCTCATTTTTCAATTGCTAAGTGCTTCGTTGTAGTATCCACGCAAAGTCTTGATCACTACGGATAGTCCCAACGATACGTCAATTAACATCTTTCAGCCGGAACTAAATACCTTCATCGAGACGGACAAAGTGCTGGAAGTGAAAATCAATATACGTAGCAAAACTTCGGTGCGTATTAATCGACCGCGTTGCATATTCATCAAATCGTTTCATCCCAACATCACATTTGAAGTGCCCATTATCGGTAAAGTATAGATCATGGTATAGGTATATGCCATCCAGTTACAGGATAACTACAGTTCAGGCTAACCCATTCTCGAATTCACTCACAGTCTTGAAAAACATGACCGAACCCTTCATCTCGAAGCAAATAACGCTGCCCCCCACAGTGCCCAAGGACAGGTCCTATTACGAAATGATCATGTACAATCCAACTAAGGATCCCATAAATGTCAAGTACAGAAAGTAAGCTTAAATGGAGCTTAAGACTGGCAGCACAAAATATTTGTAAATTCTTCCATATTCGTTTCTTTTTTGCGAATTGTAGTAGCTTCAAGGGACTCACTCTCCACTATATGAATCAACACGTCATAGTTCCACACGACTACTTGAAGCTATTGATCAAATTTGATCCGAGGAAATTGCAGGAATACAATGGATTCTTTAATGTAAAATTTGGAACGTGTAGGTATCAGGGAACGGCCCAGCCAAACCAAGTACAGCTGATGGCTCATCTCTAATATGTTGACCGTTGTTCACTTTTCAGCTCCTCCCAGGAATATAGTGTTCAGCTATACACCGAAATCGATGAGTGCGTATGTAAATCGCGGCTACTTGCCCTTTGGTCTGACGAAATTTGGTGATGAAGTGCAGCGTTCGTTCTCTATATGTAACGAAAGCACTCATCCTCTGAGGATATCTACTTCGTTCTACGCCAAAGAGACTGTGGACGAAGAGGAGTCCGAGAATACCTCGGCACAATCGGCCATATCGGATAAGTTAATCGAATCGGCAGTTAGCATGCATAGCGTTTTGTTATTTGACTTTAATGAGGATACCGAATCCGAAGTTCTTTCATATAAGGAGACATCCAGCATTCACTATCACATAGAAGTGCCTCACCAAATTGACCCGATTTCATCCGCTCAGATAATGATCAAATTTAAACCAATCGACTATGAGGAATTTGACGACAATGAGGTGCCCCCGTTCCGGGAGCGCACCAAAATAAATCTCTGTTTCACGGATAGCATGGAGTGCATTGAGACACACTCCATCGTCATCTATGGGGAGATCAGAGGCATTGATGTCGAGATCTTTCCGACAGTGATTGACTTTCGGAAAATCTACTTGGGCGAGGAGCATTGCGCATTTATCAAAATCTTAAACGTGGATGGTCGGTAAGACAGCTATTGATGCATTTGCCTCAAAATAATATCGCTTCGATCAGGTGTTGTTGCCAAGGTAAAGTACGTGGAGTGCTTAGACCCGGAAATCTGTGGGGTTCGTGTCACACCTGACCAGGGATTCGAGTTGGAGCCGTGCGAACGTGGGATCTTTCACTTATCCTTTTTTACCATTGTGCCCGCACGCTTCAACGTGGTGCTGCGCTTCAAAGTCGTAAACGGCTTCTATCACAATGTCAGCGTAAAGTATGTTCATTTGTGCCCTGAACTTAGGTCAAGCAACTTAGATACGTCTTCTTTATTCAAGGGGCCTCGGCCAACATATTCAGCTTCGCACATTCCCGCAACTTGTCGAATTTGGCACAATTCCGTTTGGTGTGCCACAGAAACGCTTCATGCTCCTCATGAATCCATTAGCCGTACCCATCACCTTGCAGGTGAAGCCAACGGAAGATGGCTTGGAACAGCCGTTGGTCTTTAATATACGCGAATCCGACGTGTTGCCCATAACGATACGAGATCCGATTAGACAATTGCAGCAAGTGCATGAAGATCTACTCGCGGAAACTGATCTGAATGACAACATTGAGATAACGGATGTCGAGTTGGAGCAGCAATCCGTGAAATCGCTCTCAATCAACGAATCCGAATATAGCCTTCAATTTGAAGAGGCTATCATGGGTGAGTCCATTCCACAAACTCCACTCTAAGTAACTTCCTTGACTCGCTTAGGGTAACTATAATTCTGTAAACTCCTGTTATCTCTGTCTATCCCTTAGATAGTGTACCTGAAATGGCTTCGCAGCTACTAAAAAATCTAAAGAAGCAGAAGATATTCGACAAATCCGAGACGGACAAACGCGTCATTCAAGAGGCCTTGACCAGTCTCTTGAATACGAATTACTTTAATATAATGAAGACGCACAACAATTTCATATTCCTCGACTGGAACGCCATACCCAGCTATCCCGCTGAAGTCTATTGCGATAACGAGATTATCTATCTCAGACCAAATACGGGACGTAGCATAACCATATTGATTGTACCAAATCGGGTGGGCTATTTTCATCGTTCACTGACCGTACGAATCTGCCCAGCTATACCCCTAGCGAGCTCAGAGTCGTCTGACGATCAGCAAATGAAGATGCTGATCAAATCGGAATTCCTGTGCTCCAAGCTCTGGTTCGAGTACACCTGCAGCACCCCAGACATCATTTGGGAGAGCTTTGTCGATCTCACCGATCGCATTATGTACGCGGGTGAGGAATATAACTTTGAAATGGAATTCGAAAATGCCTCCAATGTCGGTGGATTCGTGCACTTTGATGTTATTGTAAGTTCTAAAAGAGATCTCAAAGAGAGAACAGAAAAGAAACAGAATTTTAATTGAATTTAATTATTGCCTGCAGCCAAACGAAATGGGGTTCACTGATGGCAATTGGAAGTATTACATTGGCTCCAATTCCGTTTCGATTGCCCATTGCTTTATCATGTTTCGTGTTCTGGGCATTAACAAACTATCGGGTCTTGTCAAAATTGTCGGCGCCCCGCACCCATTTCCCTTTCATTTGTATGCAAATGTACTGCCCACGGA